CCAACGGCCTTGGTTACGGGGTTGGGTTAGCCCTGCCTAGGAACAAACAAAGCAAGGCTAGCCCAACCCCGTAACCAAGGCAAAGCTAAAGCCAATTTGGCTTACATTAATTGGATGTAAAACTAAAGCCAATTTGGTTGAAGCCAATTGAATGTAAAACTAAAGCCAATTTGGTTGAAGCCAATTGAATGCAAGGCTAAAGCCAATTTGGTTGAAGCCAATTGAATGCAAGGCCAAAGCCAATTTGGTTGATGCAAAATGATTGCAAGGCTAAAGCCAATTCGGTTGAGATAAATTGAACGCAGATGCTGAAATCAGCACAACTCTCAAAATGGCCGCAATGGGGCGCGAGTCTCAGACTGGCCGGAAGGAACAAAATCGCCTCCAACGGCCCTTGGTTACGGGGTTGGGTTAGCCCTGCCTAGGAGCAAACAAAGCAAGGCTAGCCCAACCCCGTAACCAAGGCAAAGCTAAAGCCAATTTGGCTTACATTAATTGAATGTAAAGCTAAAGCCAATTTGGTTGAAGCCAATTGAATGTAAAGCTAAAGCCAATTTGGTTGAAGTCAATTGAATGCAAGGCTAAAGCCAATTTGGTTCAAGTCAATTGCATGTAAAACTAAAGCCAATTTGGTTTACATTGATTGAATGTAAAGCTAAAGCCAATTTGGTTGAAGTCAATTGAATGCAAGGCCAAAGCCAATTTGGTTGATGCAAAATGATTGCAAGGCTAAAGCCAATTTGGTTGAGATAAATTGAACGCAGATGCTGAAATCAGCACAACTCTCAAAATGGCCGCAATGGGGCGCGAGTCTCAGACTGGCCGGAAGGAACAAAATCGCCTCCAACGGCCCTTGGTTACGGGGTTGGGTTAGCCCTGCCTAGGAGCAAACAAAGCAAGGCTAGCCCAACCCCGTAACCAAGGCAAAGCTAAAGCCAATTTGGCTTACATTAATTGGATGTAAAACTAAAGCCAATTTGGTTGAAGCCAATTGAATGTAAAACTAAAGCCAATTTGGTTGAAGCCAATTGAATGTAAAACTAAAGCCAATTTGGTTTACATTAATTGTATGTCAAGCTAAAGCCAATTTGGTTGAAGTCAATTGAATGGACATGCTGAAATCAGCACAACTCTCAAAATGGCCACAAAGGGGCACGAGTCTGAAAATGGCCTGGAGGGAACTCAGATGGCATCAGAAGGAAGCGTTGATTGGCCTGGGAGCAGAAGGGTCCTCAGGAAGGGTGCGGGTGGGTTGGATCGCTGGGCTGAGGCCCATGGGATGAACTGCAATGAGACCGAGCGCCGCATCCCACACGCTGCCTGCGATGACCTTGGTAGGGGCTTGTGGCAGAGTGACGGGAAGATCATGGAAAGGGAACGGAGCGGGGATTCGGGTAACGGTTGACCGAACCGAGCTGGCGGTGAGTGTGGGAGGCCTGGAAAGCCAATGGCGTCGCAGGGGGGAAGTCATCGACTGGAAGCGTCGAAGGCATCTTCACCTGTAATACAGAGACACGCTTTAGAAGGAGGAACGCCGAGACCCAAACTGTGCTCACCGTCAGCCCACCCCCACAAAACGTGGAAGCCAAACACCGCTCAAAGAAAAGGCTTCAGAGTAAGGTTAGGAGTATTTAACAGGAAAGGTGTTAGGGTTAGGTACATCAGGATTAGGGTTAGAGTGACCGTTAGGGAAGGCCAAGGCAAAGGCAGGAGCAAAAGGCAAGGAGAACAGCCGAGGGAACGCCAAAACGGAGGGTAAAGGGATGGGAAAGACATGGAGAACGCCAAAGGTCGCGTCAGAGGTCAGGCCCAAGGAGAAGGCCGCAGAGAACGCCAGAATGGAGACCAAAGAGATCGACGCAGAAGGCCAAAATGGAGGACGAGGTCCGTGAGAACGCTGCAGGGAAGGCCGATGCAGAAGGTCAAGGGCAATGGCCAAAGAGAATGCGGCACAAAAGGCCAAAACCAAAGGCAAAGAGAATGCTGTAGGAGAAGACAAAACAAGAGGCCAAAGGGAATGGGCAAAGAAGGCCAGGAGCAATGGCCAAAAAGAACATGGAAGGGAACGCCAAAATAGAAGCCAAAGAGAACGCCGCAGGGAACGCCAGAACAGGAGGCCAAAGGGAATGGGGCAAAGAAGGCCGAGGGCAACGGCCAAAGAGAACGCAGCCACAAACGCCAGAACTGAAGGCCAAAATAATGCTGTAGGGAACGCCAGAACGGGAGGGAAAGTGAACGTGGCAAAGAAGGCCAAGGACAAAGGCCAAGGGAATGTGGCACAGATGGCCAAAGCCGAAGGCCAAAGAAAACGCAGTGAAGGTGGCCAAGGGCAAACGGCCAAGAGAATGCCACAGGGAACGCCAAAACAGGAGGGCAAGAGAACACAGTAGGGAAAGGCTGGAGGCGAGGAGAACACAGAAAGAAAAGGACAGGCAGCATCCAGGGCACCGTGAAGTGCAGAAATGAGCTCTGTGAACCCTACCTTGTGCCTCGCTAAGTAATGAGTAAACACCGGTGGGTGAGCATCGCCCTTACCTGCTGGGCAGACAATTACCGGCCAGCAAAGCGGGGTTCCGGGCATCCCAGGAAATGCAGATTCCGGTTCCTTGCTGCTGCCTGAAGAGCCGTGCATCTCCGTGCTGTCCTTACAGCGCTCAGGAGCAACGCAACTCTGCTGCCACCTGTGGGACACAACGCAGTAATGAAGGCACTGCCCCACATGTGTGGGGCTGCACCCTGAGCACAATGCTGTAATGATGATACAAGGGTTGTAATTAATTATAATTAACGTTAGGGATAGAATTAATGGTATTGATAGGGTTGAAGTTACAGATGGTCTAACATCAGTATTCTGCACTACAATTAGGGTTATTTGACAAAACATGGGGCATTATTTTTACAGCAGCATTCAGGGTGAGAGATTTTCAACACTGGGTTAAGGGTTTGGTCTACAGATACGCTGCAGGTTAACAAAGTTATCGTTAGAACTCCCATTCAGCTGTGGGTTCAGGTTAATGTTAATGTTAATGTATCCTCCCAGCTAATCCCAGAGTGCCAAAGGCAAAGGGAAACAAAACTCCCATGGAAAGCCAAGGTAAATGCAAAGCAAACAGCCAAGCTAAGGCAAGGGCAAAAGCAAAGAGAGCACCAATGGAAAGCCAAGGGGAGGGCAAGGAGAACGCAACAAGAAAGGCCAAGGGCAAAGGCCAAGAGAACGCAGCACAAAATGCCGAAACAAAAGGCCGAGGGAACACGGCATGGAATGCCCAGGAAAGGGCTAAGAAAACATGGCAGGAAGTGCCAAAATAGGAGGCAAGAGAATGCTGCCGGGAACGCCAAAATCAAATGCTGAAGAGAAAGTGGCTACAGAAAGCCAAGGGCAATTGCCAAGAGAACATAGCATGGGACACAATAACAGGGGGGCAAGGGAATGCCCAGAGAAGGGCAAGGGCCAAGAGAACGTGGAAGGAAATGCCAAGGATGATGGCCAAGAGAACACGGCAAGAAACGCCAAAACAGGAGGGCAGGAGAACGCAGCAGGGAACGCCAAAACTGAATGCTGAAGTGAATATGGCAAAGAAAGCCAAGGGCAACGGCCAAGAGAACCCAGCATGGAACACAAAAACAGGAGGACAAGAGGATGCCCAACCAATGGCAACAGATAAGAGAACATGGAAGGAAATGCCAGAACAGGAGGGCGAGAGAACGCGGCACGGAACGCCAAAACTGAATGCTGAAGTGAATGCGGCAAAGAAAGGCAAGGGCAGCGGCCAGGAGAACATGGCGTGGAACACAAAAACAGGAGGGCAAGAGAATGGAGTAGGGAACAGCAAGGGCAAAGGGAATGAAAACGCTGCAGTGAAAGGCCGGAGACAAGGAGAACACAGAAAGAAAAGGACAGGCAGCATCCAGGGCACCACGAAGTGCAATGAAGAGCTGTGGGAGCACCGTGCTGTGCCATGCTAGGGAATGGGTAAACACTGGTGGGTGTGCATTGCCCTTACCTGCTGGGCAGACAATTACCAGCCAGCAAAGCGGGGTTCCGGGCATTCCAGGAAATGCAGATTCCGGTTCCTTGCTGCTCCCATAAGAGCCACGCATCTCCATGCGGTCGTTACGGCACTCGGGAGCGCCGCAGCCTGCTGCCACCTGTGGGACACAACGCAGTAATGAAGGCACTGCCCTGCAGATGTGCCTCTTTCACAAACCTGCACTCCTTTCTCTGATCAACGTGGCTGCGCTCTGCGCACGATGCTGCTTACCAGCAGCACTGAGCTGGGAACAACAGACAAGGAGAAGGCTCAGGTACCCAACAACATCCATTTTCCATCTTCTCTGATAACTGCTCATTATACACTGCCCTCACCTTTGGTTTGGTAGGTGGGGATTGAGGAAGCAATGCCGGTCCCACAGACCCCTCCCTATCCCACACTGTGATGTGAGATCAGGTTCTGGACCACCTGAGGACCCGAACATCCAGGAGTCTTTGGGTCCTGATGAGACGAGTCCCAGAGCTCTGAGGGAATTCAGTGCTGCAGTCATCGAGCCACTCTCAGTGGTATTTGAGAAGTCGAGGCAGTCAGGTGAAGTCCCTGGTGAGCAGAAAAAAGGTGACAGCACAGCAGTTACTGCAGATATAAAGTGTGACCCTGGGAACTGCCAACATGTCAGTCTCACCTCTGTGCTGCAAAAAGTCATGGAGCAGATCCTCCTGGAAGGGACTCTGAGGCACATTCCAGTGCGTCACCACCCTCTGTGTGAAAAGCTTCCTCCTAATAACCAACCTAAACCTCCCCTGTCTCAGATTAAAACCATTCCCCCTTGTCCTATCACAATCCACCCTTGTAAACAGCCGTTCCCCTTCCTGCTGTTCCCCCCTTCAAGTACTGGAAAGCTGGAACAAGGTCTCCCCCAAGCCTCCTCTTCTCCAGGCTGAACAAGCCCACTTCTCTCAACCTTTCCTTGTAGGAGAGCTGCTCCAACCATCTGCTCATCTCAGTGCCTCCTCTGGACCCGCTCCGTGAGCTCCACGTCCTTCCTGTGCTGGGGGCCCCAGGCCTGGATGCAGCGCTGCAGATGAAGCCTCACAAGAGCCGAGCAGATGGGGACGATCACCTCCCTCTCCCTGCTGGCCGCTCCTCTTTTAATGCAGCCCAGAACACAGCTGGCCTTCCAGGCTGCAAGCCCGCTCTGCTGGCTGACGTCCAGCTTCTCACCCACCAGGATCTGCAAATCCTTCTCTGTGGGGCTGCTCTCAAGGTGTTCATTGCTGAGTTTGCACAAACATCTGGGATTGCCCCTTCATCAGCGACATTGACAGTGGGGTGGAGTGCACCCTAATGACACCGAGCTGTGGGGTGCGGTGACACACCAGAGGGACGGGATGCCATCCAAAGGGACCTCAACAGGCTGAGTAGTGGCACTCAGCAACGCGCCTTCCAGCCCAGAAAGCCAACCGTATGCTGGGCTCCATCCAAAGATGTGCGGTCAGCAGGCGAAGGGAGGCGGTCCTGCCCCTCTGCTCTGTGCTGGGAGGCCTCACCTGGAGGTGCTGTGTGTGGATGTGGATGCCTGCAGTGCAGGACAGACGTGGAGCTGTTGGAGCACATCCAGAGAATGGCCACAGATACGAACCGAGGGATGGAACGCCTTTCCTATAAAGACAGAGAGCTGGAGCTGTTCAGCCTGCAGAAGTGAAGGCTACGAGGTGATCTGGTAACAGCCTTTCAACACCTGAAGGGAAGAACAAGGAAAGATTTAGCCTAGATATGAAGAAAATCTTGTACAGTGATGGTGGTGACACAGCAGAACAGATTACCCAGACATGATGGATGCCCTGTCCCTTCCAAGGTGAGGAATTGGGGTTTGGGTGTCGTACAGATTAGGAAACTGACAGCATCTCCAGACAATTAGGATGGAGATATCTGGGGTGATGCTGAGTACAGCGGTCCAGAAGAGGACAAACCTTGGCTTCCTATAAAGATGAAGACTTACTACACCTAAGGGTGCACAGAATGCCCTTAAACAACTCTGCACGGTTGGAAGCAGTGCATAACAGCCCTGAAATAAAGGAAGAAGAAGTTACTCCATTCCAAAGATGAACACTCAGCCCACGCTGCCAGGGAAGCAGTCTCCAGGTAGAGATGCTGCCCTTATGGCTTCCACCCCTTAAATGTGGTCAGGATACTAAATTATAATCATAAAAAAAGAAAAGAAAAAATGGAGATTGCAGCCTGAAATAAAGAAAAAACAAAGAAACCACTTACACCCCTCTCGAAGGCCAAAACTCACCCATGCTCCACAGGAGACAGCCTCCAGAGATCAACGCTGCCCTTACATCTGCCAGCACTCAAATGTGGTCAGGATGCCCCAAAAACAGGAAAGATCACAGCCCTAAAACAAGAAGGAATCACTCATCCTTTCTCAAGGACCAGCCCTCACCCCACGCTCCCAAAGAGACAGTCTCTAAAGACAGATACCACCTTAAAGGCTGCCAGCCCTTAAGTGGGGTCAGGATCCTCCAAAAACAAGATATTGCAACCCTGGAATAAAGACTCACTCACCCAGTTTCAAGGGTTCACCCCGCATTCTAAAGGAAGCAGTCTCCAGGTGCAGTCGCTGCTCCTTCTGCTGACAGACCTTAAATGTGGTCAGGAGCCCCCCAGAAAGTGAAATCACAATCCAGCAGTAAAGAAGAAGTCAATGACCCCATTCCAAAAAAGAACACTCAGCCCACACCCCAAAGGAAGCAGTCTCCATGGAGAAATGCCGCCCTTACAGCTTCCAGCCCTTAAAAGTGGTCAGGATCCCCAAAAAGGGAAAGACCAGAGCCCTGCAATAAAGCATCAATCACTCACCCCATTCCAAAGGGCAGAACTTGCTCCCAATGCTCCCAAGGAGGCAGTTCCCAAGCAGAATGCTGCCCTGGCTGTTCCCAGCCCTTAAATATGGGCAGGGAGGGGGTGGAGCCAAACTCAGCCCTATCCGGTCCCACAGGCAAATTGCTTCCACCTGTGCTGGCAGGGCTGGCCACACCCCTCACCAGGTGCTCAATCACTGCTTCAGGCTGTAAACAACAACAAGAAAAAAAACTAATTACAAGCAGGTGATTGGATCTGCCTGTCCGGCAAGGGGAGTTTGATCAAAGGATGAGCAACAATGGCATGCATATTTTGATTCAAGTCTGTCCTCAAAGGTATTTCGTAAAATTTCTAATAGATAGGGGAGCACAAATTTCAGTACTGATACAGCACAGAGATTTCCGTACTGATACAGAAGATGCTGAAAAGCTGTGTGTGCAGCCTGGATGGCAGAGTTGAGATCACCGGTGTGATCAGAGTGAGCGCTGTTTGCCAAACTGGTGGGGACAGCTTGTGGCTCTGCAGTGAGAAACGTGTCGCCTACTTTCTTTGCAATAAAAGCCCATCGTGAAAACAATTCAGGATTTGACATCCTCAGTGTGTGAACCTGGCACCTGCCTGTATGGCAGCTGACATAGGGATGACACTCGGGTGATACTGGGGAGTGACGCTGGGGGATGGTGTTGGATTATTACTGCAGGGTGACATCAGGGAGTGACATTGCAGTGGCATAGTTGGGGTGACACTGGGGTAACACTGGGCTGACCCTGGGATGATGTGGGGGGGTGATGCTGGGGGGTGATGTTGTAGCATCATGGGGGGGACATCAGGGAGTGATGTTGGAGTGATACTATTGGGGGGGGTGTAGTGGAAACCCTAAATCGTGGCTTGAAACAATGATTGAGAAGGGACAAACCATAGAAGCTCAGGTGCATGAAACGCACCTGAGTGATGGAAGGGGGTGGAGCCTGGCTCCACCCCCTCCCAGGTCTCATTTAAGCATTGGCATCACAAGTGAGGGGCTTTGGCTAGAGGTCTGTGCTTGCATGAGGTCTTCCAAAGGTGAGCAGGTTTTTGTTCTGTTTCTGTGTTTACGGTTGCTGTGTTTGAGCACATTCTCACTTACTACAGCCTGGGACTTTGCTTCTCTGCTATTGTTGTTGCATTTTTCCATCATGCTGCAGCATTACAGTAGGTAATTAATGGTAAGGGTGATGTTGGGGGGTTTTTGTGGGGTAATGTTGTTAGAGTGAAGCTGGGAGGTTACATTGGAATGAGACTAGAATGATGTCGGGGTTTCACTCAAGGATGGCATCAGGGAGTGACGTTGGGCTGACACTGGTGGGGGTGCACTGGTGTGACACTGGAGTGATGCTGGGTCGATGTAGTGCAGTCATGCTGTAGGCTGATGTTGAGGGATGAGATAAAGGAGCGATGTTGTTGGGGGGGGGGGGATGTTATTGGGGAGATGCTGGGAGGCGATACTCTATGATGAGTCAGTGATGTTGGCGGGTGATGTTGGGGTATCATTAGGGCAGGTATCAGAGAGTGACGCTGGATTAATGCTGATGGAGTGACACAGGGGTGATGGGGATGAAACTGTTGAGTTGACACTGGAGAGATGTTGGAAAATCACTTGGGGTGGACATAAGAGAGCGTCATTGGGATGATGGTGGAGATGTTGGGATGATGCTGAAATGCCTGTTTTTAACCTTAAATATCGCTTAGAAATCCCTGTTTTTAACCTAAAATATTGCTTATTTTCCTAGAAATCTCCGTTTTTCCCCTTAAATACTGTTTATTTTAATAGAAATCCCTGTTTTTCCCCTTAAAAATTGCTTATTTTCGTAGAAATCCCTGTTTTTAACCTTAAACATCGCTTATTTTCCTAGAAATCCCTGTTTTTAACCCAAAAATATTGCTTATCTTCCATGAAATGCCTGTGTTTCCACTTAAATATCGCTTATTTTCGTAGAAATCCCTGATTTATCCCTTAAGTATCGCTTATTTTCCTAGAAATCCCTGTTTTTCCCCTAAAATATTGCTTATTTTCCTAGAAATCCCTGTTTTTCCCCTTAAATATCGCTTATTTTCCTAGAAATCCCTGTTTTTAACCCTTAAATATCGCTTATTTTCCTAGAAATCCCTGTTTTTAACCCTTAAGTATTGCTTATTTTCCTAGAAATCCCTGTTTTTTACCTTAAAATATAGATGATTTTCATAGAAATCCCATTTTTCCACATTAAATATCGCTTATTTACGTGGAAATCCCTGTGTTTAACATAAAATATCGCTTATTTTCATAGAAATCCCTGTTTTTAACCCAAAATATCGCTCATATTCCTAGAAATCCCATTTTTTCCCCTTAAATATCGCTTATTTTCCTAGAAATCCCTGTTTATCCCCTGAAATATCACATACTTTCCTAGAAATCCCAGTTTTTCTTGTAAAATATGGCTTACTTTCCTAGAAATCCCTGCTTTTAACCCTAAATATCGCTTATTTTCATAGAAATCCCTGTATCTCCCCTTAAATATCGCTTATTTTACTAGAAATCCCTGTTTTTCTCTTGAAATATCGCTTATTTTCCTTGAAATACCCGTTTTTCCCCTTTAATATCGCTTATTTTTATAGAAACCACTGTTTTTAACCTTAAATCTCGCTTATTTTCCTAGAAATCCCTGTTTTTAACCCTTAAATATCGCTTATTTTCCTAGAAATCTCTGTTTATCCCCTTAAATATCACATACTTTCCTAAAAATCCCTGTTTTTCTCGTAAAATATGGCTTATTTACCAAGAAATCCCTGTTTTTATCCCTTAAGTACCGCTTATATTCCTAGAAATGCCTGTTTTTAAACCTAAATATCGCTTATTTTCATAGAAATCCCTGCATCTCCACTAAGATATCGCTGATTTTCCTAAAAATCCCTGTTTTTCCTCTTCAATGTCGCTTATTTTTGTAGAAATCCCTGTTTTAAACCCTTAAATATCGCTTATCTTCCATGAAATCTCAGTTCTCCCCTAAAATATCGCTTATTTTCCTACAAATCCCTCTTTTTTACCTGAAAATATCGCTGATTTTCATAGAAGTCCCATTTTTTCCCCGTAAATATCGCTTATTTTCATAGAAATCCCTCTTTTTAACCTTAAACATTGCTTATTTACGTAGAAATCCCTGTGTTTAACCTAAAATATTGCTTGTTTTCCTACAAATCCCTGTTTTTAACACTAAATATCGCTTATTTTCCTAGAAACCCCTGTTTTTCCCCTGAAATATCCCTTATTTTCCTAGAAATCCCAGTTTTTCGCCTTAAATATCGCTTATTTTCATAGAAATCCCCGTTTTTCCCTTTAAATATCGCATATATTAATAGAAATCCCTGTTTTTCCCATTAAAAATTGCTTATTTTCCTAGAGATGTTTGTTTTTCCCCAAAATATCGCTTATTTTTCTAGAAATCCCTGTTTTTAACCCTAAATATCGCTTATTTTCCGAAAAATCCCTGTTTTTAACCCTTAAATATCGCTTATCTTCCATGAAATCTCTGTTTTTCCCCTAATATATAGCTTATTTTCGTAAAAATCCCTCATTTCTCCCTTAAGCATTGCTTATTTTCCTAGAAATCCCTGTTTTTCCCCTTGAAAAATCGCTTATTTTCCTAGAAATCCCTGTTTTTCCCCCTAAATATTGCTTATTTTCCTAGAAATCCCTCTTTTTTACCTTAAAATATCGCTGATTTTCATAGAAATCCCATTTTTTCCCCTTAAATATCGCTTATTTTCACAGAAATCCCTGTTTTTAACACTAAATATCGCTTATTTTTGTAGAAATCCCTGTGTTTAACCTAAAATATGGCTTATTTTCCTAGAAATCCCTGTTTTTCTCTTGAAATATCGCTTATTTTCCTTGAAATATCCGTTTTTCTCTTGAAATATCGCTTATTTTCCTAGAGATCCCCATTTTTCTTGTGAAATATCGCTTATTTTCCTAGAAATCCCTGTTTTTCCCCTTAAATATTGCTGATTTTAATAGAAATCCCAGTTTTTCCCCTTCAATGTCGCTTATTTTCCTAGAAATCACTGTTTTTAACATTAAATATCGCTTATTTTCCTAGAAATCCCTGTTTTTAACCCAAAAATATCGCTTATATTCCTAGAAATCCCTGTTTTTCCCCTTAAATATCGCTTATTTTCCTAGAAATCCCTGTTTATCCCCTAAAATATTACTTACTTTCCTAGAAATCCCAGTTTATCTTGTAAAATATGGCTTATATTCCTAGAAATCCCTGTTTTTAACCCTAATTATTGCTTATTTCCATAGAAATCCCTGCATCTTCACTAAGATATTGCTGATTTTCCTAGAAATCCCTGTTTTTCCTCTTCAATGTCGCTTATTTTTGTAGAAATCCCTGTTTTTAACCCTTAAATATCGCTTATCTTCCATGAAATCTCTGTTTTTCCCCTAAAATATCGCTTATTTTCCTAGAAATCCCTTTTTTTTACCTTAAAATATCGCTTATTATTGTAGAAATCCCATTTTTTCCTGTTAAATATCGCTTATTTTCCCTGAAATCCCTGTTTTTAACCTTAAACATCGCTTATGTACGTAGAAATCCCTCTGTTTAACATAAAATATCACTTACTTTCCTACAAATCCCTGTTTTTCTCTTGAAATATCACTTATTTTCCTTGAAATACCCGTTTTTCCCCTATAATATCGTTTATTTTTATAGAAACCACTGGTTTTAACCTAAAATATCGCTTATTTTTGTAGAAATCCATGTTTATCCCCTTAAATATCACATTCTTTCCTAAAAATCCCTGTTTTTCTCGTAAAATATGGCTTATTTTCCGAAAAATCCCTGTTTTTAACCCTTAAGTATCGATTATTTTCCTAGAAATCCCTGTTTTTCCCCTGAAATACTGCTTATTTTCCCAGAAAACCCTATTTTTCCCCTTAAATATTGCTTATTTTACTAGAAATCCCTGTTCATCCCCTTAAATATTACTTACTTTCCTAGAAATCCCAGTTTTTCTCATAAAATATGGCTTATTTTCCTAGAAATCCCTGTTTTTAACCCTTAAATATCGCTTAACTTTTATGAAATCTCTGTTTTTCCCCTTAAATATTGCTTATTTTCCTAGAAATCCCTCTTTTTTACCTGAAAATATCGCTGATTTTCATAGAAATCCCATTTTTTCCCGTTAAATATCGCTTATTTTCATAGAAATCCCTGTTTTTAACCATAAACATTGCTTATTTACGTAGAAATCCCTGTGTTTAACCTAAAATATCGCTTGTTTTCCTACAAATCCCTGTTTTTCTCTTGAAATATCGCTTATTTTCCTTGAAATACCCGTTTTTTCCCTGAAATATCGCTTATTTTCCTAGAAATCCCCGTTTTTCCCCTTAAATATCACATATTTTAATAGAAATCCCAGTTTTTCCCCATCAATGTCGCTTATTTTCCTAGAAATCCCTATTATTCACCTTAAAATATCGCTTATTTTCATAGAAATCCCTGTTCTTAACATTAAATATCGTTTATTTTCCTAGAAATCACTGTTTTTTACCCTACATAGCGCTTATTTTCTTAGAAATCCCTGTTTTTAACCTAAAATATCGCTTATTTTCCGAAAAATCCCTGTTTTTAACCCTTAGATATAGCTTATCTGCCATGAAATCTCAGTTTTTCCCTAAAATATCGCTTATTTTCCTAGAAATCCCTCTTTTTTACCTTAAAATATAGCTGATTTTCATAGAAGTCCTATTTTTTTCCCCTTAAATATCGCTTATTTTCATAAAATCCCTGTTTTTAACCTTAAACATCCCTTATTTACGTAGAAATCCCTGTGTTTAACCTAAAATATTGCTTGTTTTCCTACAAATCCATGTTTTTAACACTAAATATCGCTTATTTTCCTAGAAACCCCTGTTTTTCCCATTAAAAATTGCTTATTTTCCTGGAAATGCCTGTTTTTCCCCAAAATATCACTTATTTTTCCAGAAATCCCTGTTTTTAACCCTTAAGTATCGCTTATGTACCTAGAAATCCCTGCTTTTTACCTAAAATATCACTTATTTTAATAGAAATCCCTGTTTTTCCCCTTAAATATCGCTTATTTTCCTAGAAATCCCTGTTTTTCTCTTGAAATATCACTTATTTTCCTAGAAATACCCGTTTTTAACCCTAACATATTGCTTATTTTAATAGAAATCCCTGTTTTTCCCCTTCAATGTCGCTTATTTTTGTCAAAATCCCTCATTTATCCCTTAAGTATCGCTTATTTTCCGTGAAATCCCTGTTTTTCCCCTTGAAAATATGGCTTATTTTCCTAGAAATCCCTGTTTATCTCTTGAAATATCGCGTATTTTCCTAGAAATACCCGTTTTTAACCCTAACATATTGCTTATTTTAATAGAAATCCCTGTTTTTCCCCTTCAGTGTCGCTTATTTTCGTAAAAATCCCTCATTTATCCCTTAAGTATCGCATATTTTCCGTGAAATCCCTGTTTTTCCCCCTAAATATTGCTTATTTTCCCAGAAATCCCTCTTTTTTACCTTAAAATTTCGCTGATTTTCATAGAAATCCCATTTTTTCCCCTTGAAAATCGCATATTTTCATAGAAATCCCTGTGTTTAACCTAAAATATCGCTGATT